TATATATATATATATATATATATATATTGTGTGTGTTTGTGTGGGAATATTCAATTAACATACATTCCTTAACAAGAGAATGTTTCCACAAATTTCTATAAAAACATTCTAAACACCTGGGCAAAACATGGTAGTAATTATTTCCTTAAAGGAAAAGTTATGATAAGTACAAATATGCATGGAAAAAGTTGAGTACCAGCAAAGTCATATCACAATAGAAAACGATTGTAAAAACAAAAAACAAAAAACAAATAAAACAAATTACTTTTTGCTTTTCTTATCTCTTTACCTCTTCATAAAAGTTTGAGCCATTTTTTTCTTTGTTTATCTCTTCCTAAAAGTTTTTACCATAATTATTATTATTAAATATATATAAAACTCACTTTACAGATCTCTTAGTAGTATTTCTTTATCTTTTTGCTTTCTTTATAATTTATTTGCTCTTCTGACTGTCACAACAATATGGAGATAGAAAAGGATGAAAGTAATTTCATCATCCAAGATAACTCACCTCATAATCCAAATCAAAATATTAAACCACAAATTGATAAGAGTAAGTTCATATCGGCTACAGCGATGGAGTGGGCCCTTAGACATATGTCGTGGGATTATTGATGAAAGAGGTATTGATTCTTCGTCCCTAGATAATGACCAAATCATGAACGTGCTCGTAAAAATTAAACGCTTAAAATGGTCAAAATTTGCCAAAAATCCTGGAGCAGCAATATTAATGATACTTCGAGAGTTCTACACCAACATGGACGTAGAAAACCTCACCTCTATAGTTCGAGGTAATATCATCCCTTTCAATAAAGAAGTCATCAATGAATTATATGATACTCCACAATGTGATGACCATGTATTTCAAGAGCTACTTGAAGAAAGTAATTTTGATATCTTTACTCCACATATGTGTCCATATGGAATGGATTAGCACTTTGACGGTGAAGAAAAAAGGGATTGATTTGCCACTAAAAATCTCAGTATGTCAGCAAAAATATGGATGTTATTCTTAAATGACCGCTTAAAATCAGATCGCAATTCTGGTGAGGTAAGAATTGAGAAACGGGCTTGGTTATATGCACTAGAAAATGGATTCACAATTAATTTGACGGATAATTAGTGAGAATATGGTACGTTGTCGGACTGTGAGAACATTAAAAACTTTATACCATGGAACAACTTTTACGAAATTGGTAGGACGTTTTGGAAAGAAACCATCACCTTCGTTGGGACTTCTTCATCTGTCTAGATGGACAAGTCTTAAAACAATTAGGACCATGTGTGGGACCTATGAATACACCAGGACCTTCAATAATTATGGAAAAAAAAGAAAGAGCGTCCATCACTCTCTGCGGAGTTGAAAAGGGTTGAGGAAAAAATTAGCCAACTCATTATGCATCAACAATCTATGCAAGAAGATTTTAATGCATTTAAAACACAATTCTCCTACCCCATAAATAATTCTATATATAACGCAGGATATATATCACAATTTTTAGATACGCAGACTTTATATCCGCCGCTTGGAGTTCAAGATATGGATTTTCAATATTTAAATGTATGTCAATCGGTGCAGATTTAGGACATATGTCAAAAAAATTCAAAAGAACAGCTAAGCTTTCAAGGAATGGCGCCACCAACATTAATATCAGAACTTGTTCCTAATGAATTCAACACAGAACATGGCACCACTCAGTCAATGGCATTTGGTGATCAATTCTTTAATTTTGACGAAGCTATGAATATGCATGTAATTCAATCCGAACAGGTGGAAGATGATACGGCTAGCAACAGTAAGAATATCGACAACAATAAACATGGTAATGAATTTTCTGATCTATACCAAGTTTGTCGTGGACGGAAAGACAACAGGAATGCGGAGCACTGAAACCCCCACTTGAGGTTTTTACATACGAGACTATGTAAAGCTTAAAGTGTGGGGAGGTAACGAAATAAGTTTTCTTTGTTCGATTGTTGGTTTGCTTTCCATGAGTGATTGTATCGAAATAATAATATATATATATATATATATATAATTAATCTTGCATGTACTTCCATGGATTTCTTGGTTCGATTCTTTGCCATGGTCGTAATATTTTGAATCGAATTTTTTTTTTAGGACTTTGAGTTGCTCTATTGTAAAAAAAAAAAGGAAAAATAATAGTGAGTTAACCAAGTATGATTCATGAGTTTTATAACAACCTTTCCAAACTCATACTTAGTTATTGATTATCGAGAATAATATATCCTTTAGTCCTAAGTGTATTGTGTGGTTAGTATATATTACCTAGTTCTCATGCTTATTGGAAAATATAGAACTTCACTTGAATGTGGTTTGAGGCGAAATTTTAGGTAGATTTTGAGTTGAGACATGAAAGTAGGCCTTCTTTGTTTAGCCTTGTTAAAATTATCTTAATTGACCTACCTTGATAATTTTTATCCCTAGTTATCCCCATCGAGTCGAAAAATATATTCTTCTTTTTTTTCCTTTTCTTCATGACAAAGTTATAAATCGAAACCATTCTTGCTATTGCAAATTATTATTAGTTTCACCTTACTTCCCTTTAAGTACTTCAAAAAAAAAAAAAGTTGCAATGGGTGATATTGAACAAAGATTGTTGATCCTTCGAGATCACGACATAATGATTATGTCACATAAAAAAAAAAAAAAAAAAAAATTATATATATATATGTAAAAAGAGAGAGAAGGATTTGCAACATAAAGTTTTTAAGAAAGATGAAAAGCAATGATGCTTAAAAGGGAAAGTGAAATACAGTATCTAAAGGGAGTTTGAGTCAATATTATTCGCATATATCCTACTTATCACAGAGCCTACATTACAACCATGAAAAGCCCTACATGATCTCAACTCAAAAATTCCTACACTAGTGGAGAATCACATAATAGTCAAGCTTATGGCTATTTCCGGTGACATGAGATATTTCTTTGCTGAGAATGAGTGATTTTCCTCTACATATACCCTTCTTTGTTCTATCAATATATTGTGTGATGTATGAACATTTCTCTCCATTTAGTAAGACACATTGGGACTAAAAGTATTGTTATTTCGATTTTCAATTAATAAATATGAGTAAGGTTAAAAGTTGTTAAACTCAAAAAGTCTTTTTAGTCGATTCTGCTCTATCAAAGTTATTATTATATTTATATAAAAGATATATATATATATATATATATATATATATATATTATGTTAGCCATAATAATATTATCTTTCATTGCTTGAGGACAAGCAAATATTCAAGTATGGGGGTATTTGATGAGAAAAAAAAATATCATATATAACTACGTTATTTTCTGAATTCAGTACTAATATTTTTATTTTTCTTTACAGAGCATATCTCGATTTAATAAGAACAACAACAAAGAAAGAAATATGCGACAAATTGAAAAGTCAACATAAACAAAATGAAAAAGAAGAAGAAAAGTATTAATGTTGCTATTGTCAAAATAAACAAACTATGTGGGACCCACAAATTAAAAGAAAAGTTCAAAGAAAATGAAAAAAAAAGAAGCAAAAATACACGAGATGCAACTATGTGGGACCCAATGCATTCAAAAAGAAGAAAAATAATATGATTGAAAGGTTTTATGTGAAGTCACAAGCTTAAAATTACATTAGTGCCGTAACAAGACTTTTTTATAAATAGAAAATATCAGTAAGCAGCTGAAGAGGGGCGAGACTTTCAAATAGTTTTCTTCTTCAACTTTTTATTTTACATTCAAATCCTGATTTTAACCAAGTAGCGGAATTATTCCTCTCGAATATTTCTTCTATTTTCTTATTTAATGACGAAGAATATTTTTGTTAGTAGTACCAAACTTAGTATGGAGTAATTTTCTATTGTGTTGGGGAAAAGATGAATCTTGATATATCTATATAATAGTAAGTATTATTCCTAAATTTCACGTACTTGAGCCTAAATTTTATATTTGATTTTTATCCGCTTTACAGTTAGATGCTATTTTATCAACTAACGCTTGTCTATCTTATACTACATATTAAAATATTACTAACTCTGTAATCGAGAGAGGCAGAATAAGTAATACTATTAATTGAAGTATTGATCAGGTTGTTGAATTATAATTTATGGCATCTATCCATTTTGTGTTATAATTAATTATGCACTTATTTGTATTCGGGAGAGGCAAATAGTGTAACAATTAGCTATAACAAGTAAGGTAACCGAAAGGGACTTACTCTCGAAAGCTTGTTTTAGTTCAAGTACATATTTCTGGTGCTTAAATATTACTATTTTGATAATTAAATTGTATAATCAAGAGGAGTGCATTTAATTATTCAACTCCAATAATATTACATAAATATAATCGTAAGAGGTATTTATACTTTTATGAGAAATAGAAACTATGGAATAAAATCTTTTACTTGGTGTAGAAATATTAAGTGAAGTCAGAATTCCAACACCTTTCACCCTATTTCTAAAAATAAAAACAAAAATTATTTTCTCTGTTTGAAAGGTTTTAACTAAAATTAAATTAATACTCAATATTTTCTAAAATTCTCCCAAATAGTAATTTGAACAAAAAACGTCTATAGAATAGATAAATCAATCTCTGTGATTCGACATCTTTTTATACAATAATTTGAGAAAGCACGAATAAAAATACATACACATCAGGAACTCGTTAGTTAACAAATGTTTTTTCTTTGGTGAAGCCATTTCATGGTTATGCTCTGTAACAAATATGTCTATCATGAAAGGACTATTCTGCAACTGACGCTTAAAACTTATCATTACAGGACACTTGTGAGTACATGATGTCTTACTAGATTTTCTTTGCCTTTCATCTTTTTCGCCGTGCCGGTAACACACAAGGCGTTTTTTTCAAAATGCACAAGACAAAAATATGAGTATTTTGTTTTCAACTTGACAAGCATTGTTCTCAATTATTCTTTCAGTATACATATGTGCTTAGATAGATAAGAAATTAACTAACCTGATATGTGTAGGCTCCTTTTCAAGAAATATTTATTATTTTTAAATTTAAAATAAGACTGCTAATAAATTTTAACTTATCTTATGTGGTTAGTCTAATTATAGTGAGTGTATACATTGGGTGTGGACAAATTTTTTCCAATATAAATGACAATGTTATTATTTTGCTACCTTTTCCGGATTTTGTATAATAAAGAATGACCCAAGAATATAAAAAAAAAAACATCATTTATATTGATAACAAAAAACTTTAGAACTCTTCCATATATTTTAAGACTCCTTATTTTAAAAAAATATATTTCTTCTTACCATATATTTTAGGATTCCTTAATTATTAATTATCCTAATCTATCTCTTAACATACATTTTCCTCTTACTATATATTTTAGGACTTCTTAATTATTAATTTTCCTAATACCTTCTATCATATATTTTACGATTCTTTAATTTTAAATATTTTTCTTTTATCATATATTTTAGACTCTTTAATTTTAAATATTATGAAGATAAGTTTAAGAAAAATAGTAAATGATAATTATACTAAATGATAATTTAACAAGGCACAAAAAAATTCAATCAACATTTTAAAGAACTTTCATGCTTTATATATATATATATATAATAATTAACTAAATTAGTTTACCTAATGAGAACTTGCCCCACCTGTCTTCCTTTTAGGAAAAAAAAAGTAGATGTATAAGTAACGACATGCATATGCTAACACACCATAACTATTCATCAAATAGTTACTTTTATGATTTGATTTCTTATGATCTAATCAGATTCACATGTAACACTTTGGTAACTCATTATTAGTTAGTTAAAATTAGATAAAATATTAAAATAAATCCTAATAAGGAAAAAAAATTATCATAGGCTATAATGAGAAAGTTGACCAAATTAGTATATATAATAGAAATATTTTTTGCTAAAATTAAACTTGTTCATCTTTCTGTAGAATTATTTTTAGAACTATCATATATTTACAATAAAAAATGGAGGTTTACATTTACCAAAACCTAAGATTTGCTTATGAACTTGAAAAACCAATCCAAAAAATTGGTTTCAATTCTTCTTTTGAACCAAAATTCATTCAAATCAAGTTCATTTGCATTACTTATCATAATTGGAATTCGAAAATGCTATCACCCGATCCTAACATGGTAGTAAAAACTCCGAAATTCTCAACTTTTATTAACATGGGAGTAGATGATTTTGCGAACAAAGATAAGGCTCGAAAAATCATATTCAAGGTGCTAAAGATTTTTATTTTTTTTCGCATCGTGTTAAATTCAATTTATTTCTTTTATATGAAATTATTTTCTTATTAGCACGTTTTAGTAATACTGCATTTCTATATGTATATATATGTGCAATGTTAATACATTATTTTAGAAATAATTTAAGTCTAGAGAACTTATCCTGAATATTTATTTTGTAGGTACTGAAGAATTGGGATGCTTCTGATTTTAATTGCAAAAAGATATTCAATTATTTGAATTTTGAGTTGTCCAATAAGTCAAAAGATTGCTTAGTGATGATTGATGGTCGACCAACACTACAATTAATTGTTAAGGTTATATTGTTTAATCAATATATCAATGATATGATCATCCCATCAACTTCTGGTGGTGGAAATTGCTTAATTTGCCAAAGGAGGCTTGTTGGTGATCTGAAATCTACAAAGATGTCATGTTCTCATATTTTTCATATTAATTGTATTAGAATTTGGCTAGAGAAAAATAATGGTTGTCCATGTTGTGTTGTCAATGATATTGGCTTGGAGCAATAAGGTTGAGTTTATTAAATAAGATATTAGTATTTGTTGAAGGATTGTTGTTGTTGCTAAATAATATTGGAATATTATGT